GGGTGCCGGGCAGCCGTCCCCGGGGTAGGCTGGGAGGGCTGTGCAGAGGAAGCGGGGGGCCCCGGTGCACCCCAGACACGAGTGCTCGCAGGACCATGCACCGCTCCTACGGCTGCGCCCGTGTCCGAGTCCGCGCTCACGCGGGCCGTAGTTGACCTGGGGCCGCTGCTCTGCAAGGAGGGTGGTGGGCGGCTGCTCACTCGGTCTCCGCTGGGCCCAGAGTGTCCGGCACGAGTCGGGCGGGAGAGAATTCCAGAACGGGGAGGACGAGGAGCAGAGGGGTGGGAACCAGGAGGACAATTAGAAAGAAAGATCTGGAAATGGCACTGCCCGGCTCCGCTCGCTAGTCCTATTACCGTGAACTGATTGCTTCCACGAACCTCAGTTTCCACGTCTGTAAAATGGGGATAATGATAGTATTTGCCCCTTAGGGGAGTTGTGAGGATTAAATGAGCTAATTGGTGTCTCACTGTGTACATTACCTGACTCCTGGTAAAAGATGGTTGAATGTTACCTATTACCGATATATTTGTTTTATTTATTGCAGGGGTCCAGAACAGGCTTTCCTAAGACGTGCCACTTGGGCGTGCGAATTATTTTTGAGCCGAAGGCAATAGAGACACTTCCAGTTCAAGAGAAACTTATACCTGTCCTTTAAAAAATATATGTTAGGAGCCTTGCCTATAATAAAAGTTATTACCAGATATAATTTTTATGACCTACCTATAGGGCAGTGCAAACTGCTAACGGCTGAACATCTCTTCTTATGTCCTTTGAGGAGATAAGAGCCCCCAAATGCCTCACCTCATCTTTAGCTCAGAATGTCATCCATACCTCATTTTAATTTTCTGTCTCTGAACCTCTCGTGTGTGTGTGTGTGTGGTCTCTGACTCGTGTGTGGGGTCCTCATACGCCTATGTAATTTGGCTATTTTGTTAGTCTGTCTCATGTCGATTTAATTATTAGACCAGCCGGAAGAACCTAGATGGGTATAGGAAAGTTTCTTACTCCCCCCCTACAAATATATTATTGATATATTGATCTATAGCCCTGTTCTTTTAGCTTCCGTTGGACCTGATACTTTGAAGCCTCAGCCCCTCAAATACTGGTAGCTTCTTTGTTTTGCAGAGACTTTTTCAACTATTACGCATAATCATGTATTCACTTCCTGAAGGCAGTATGCAGGAGCCCCGCTGGTCCCAGGCCAGGAGCCCTGAGCCCTGCCCCCTACCACCCAGCAGGGTTCAGTGTATTCTGGGTAGAGATTCTGCCCTGTGTCATCTCATTGCAGCTGTCACTTGTTCAAAGTCCATGCTGGAGCTCTGGAGAGCTTTCCTGGGATTCAATTAGCAGCAGCAGCAGCAGCCTGGGCAAAGGGTGCCCTGGGACCAGAGAGAGAAGGTCCCAAGGTTTTCTTCTGGCTCAGAATCTGGCATAGGATTCTGTTTCTAAGGAATCTAAACACATCACCCCCTTCCCGCCACCTCTGGAACCTGGGAAGACTACGATTTGGGGTGTTTTCCCAAGTCTGCATAGATGGATGGCAGTGACAGTTGGAACATTTAAGGAGTGTCAGCCAGGGGCCAGGCACTGTGCTCCCACATACCAGATCCCTTACATGCTCTTCGTTTACACAGTAACTTTAATACAGTCTGCGTTCTCACGATACAGATGTGAGGCTGTACTTTCCCCTCGTGGGGGCAGTTGGCAGAATCTAGTGAACTGATTTACCTTTGAGTCTTTTTCCCCCTTCTTGCCTGGGAGGGTTGGAATGGAACCTAGTCTTTGTCTCAGTATGTCCCATGGTTGGTGACCTAAAAGTAGTGACTGGTCTTGAATGGATCCTGTGTTCTTCAGAGCTTGTGGCAGATATTTGTCTCGGGGACTTTCAGACCTTGGGGGCCCTGGAGCCATGCATGTGTCACCTATGCTGTCATGTGTAGCATCCTCTATTTCATTTAATTCACACACCGATGCTGTTCATTGTTAACCCCTGCATGAGGTCGAGAAAGCCGCTGTATGGCAGAGCCAGGATTCAAACCCCAGTCTGCCCGGTTCCCAAACCCAGAGCCATCCTTCTTTGCTCTGGGGCAGGGTTCCGTGGGCTGAGTCCTGCCGCCATTTGTTTTCATACGGCTCAAGAGCTAAGAATGGTTTCACATTTTTAAAAGGTTGAAAAGAAATTAAAAGAAGAATAATATTTTGTGACATGTGAAAATCACATGAAACACACATTTCAGCGCCTCAGGTTTTCCCGGAACACAGCCACGGTCATCTGTGGACCTGTGGGGCTGTGTCTGTGGCTGCTCCCCGCTCCCACAGCAGAGTGGAGTATTATGACAGAGACCACCTGGCCAGCAGAGCCTAAAATATTTACTCTTTGGCCCTTTTTAGAGAAAAAGTTTGCAGATGCTGGTCTAGGGGGTTTGGCTTTAGAGGAGGCGGAATGGGCTGGGCTGGGGCTCAGACTGGCGGAGAGGGAGAGGGAGAGGTCGGCAGCTGGATCCCCTCTCCGGGATTTTCGTTTAAGCCTCTCACCTGTCTCCACGCCTCTCTGTCCTGGCCTTGGATCTTTAAAGGAATAGCAACGTGCTGTCTCTTGACCAAAGCTGTTTTTCACTCCAGTGGGTGGTCAGCATCGACGTGGTGGAGAATGAAGAGGCCAGTGCTAGTGTCGTCGTTAAAATGACGGACTCGTTTACGGAGCAGGCTGACCAGGTAATTCCAGAAAAGGTCCCACAAGCCTGTGGGATGGGAACCCTGGGGAACGGTGTCCGCTGGCTGGCGGTGTGTTCTTCCCTTCTTCAAGTATTGTCTCTCTAATTATGAAAGCCATTTGTACCCATGGAGGGAAATTTGGAAAAAAAAAATACAATGAAGTTAAATGACCCATAATCCAATTCTAGTTAGCTGACTATTCGCATTTTGGCCCATTTTGTTGTCTTTTCTATGCATTCTGTATGTTATTAGCTTTACAAGTCGTGGTAATCTTGTATTTTATATTTTAAAAATTTAAATGAAATTAATTGTTATTTAAATACTTCAGATCATTTAAAAATATCTGTGTCAGTGTGTAATTTTTAATTTTATGAATTGGCCACAATTTCCTTAGTTTCCTCATATTGTACGTTTAACTTTTTTGCAGTTTTTCTTTTTATCATTATTTATCTCCATCTCTGATTATTGATTTAGGATACATTCTAAAAAGTGGAGTGCCCAGTTCAGAGCAAGAATACTAGCAAAACAGGTTATTTCAAATCACAAAATGATATGCTTATTGTGAAACAAAAAATCAAAACTCTGTTAATATGTCAGTAAACCGTGAAATATCCCTGCGACCCCTAGATAGCCACTCCCCAGCAGGAAGTCCCCTTAACAGCTTGATGGGTGTTTTGGTAAATATCTGGGTTCTACCTTTCTCAAAGAGCTGTGCCCACGAGCAGCCTGATGGACATGCTTCATGTGTTTCATTCCCTTGCCAGCGCCAGCCCATGTTCCCGAGGAAATCTGCACGATGTTCTGTGTGTGATGCACCGTATTTGCACAGGCACGCGGCGATGCATGTGGGCAGGTGGTGGCGGTCCTGTTTATATCTGAGGAGACTGAGTGTCAGACACTTGGTGACATGGCCAGCAAGCTAGTTAGTAGTGTAGTTGAGAGCATGGATGTCCAAAGAAGAGACTTATTAACAACTTATTAACTGTAGGAAGTTCAGGGTCTGCTTTTTGGTTAGTTTTGTTGTCCCTAGTAAGCTGAACACTGTTGAGCGTCGATGGTTTATATGATCCTTAGCTATTTTTTATAATACATTTAAAAAAATTTTTAAATGATGCATGTATGATGTAGGGAATATAATAAAGCCAGAGAAGAGGAATGTCATGTTTAGTCCGTCTGTGAGATTAATAGTTTGTGATATTTCCTTCTAATCCATTTCTCCAAACATATATGTATAAATCTAAAAAACTTTAAATTCTCAAACTGTGAGCTTACTTGCTGTTTCTAAAACATCAATTTGACATAGATTGCAATATAAAAAGCCAGCTGACTTATTCCACAATATAGGTTTTTGTTGTCCTTACTTTCCTAATATGGTCCTAGTGTTTCCTTTACTTAATGATAACCTTTTGGGCTTAATGGGCTTAATCCTGGCATGACATTGTGATGTAGCAGGCGCCGTTCTAAGTGTTTTATTCACATTAACCCGACTAGGACCCCAGAACAAAGTTTCTCATTTATCTCCTTTTAGAGATGGGGAGTCTGAGGCATGGAAAGGCCCTGGTATTTGCTCAAGGTGAAACAGGCAGTAGGTGGCATAGCCAGGACTGGAACCTGGGCAGTGGGGGTTGGACGCTGGTGCTCTTAACTGCATGCTAAGCTGCCTCTTGGCAGAGCAGCTTCACGGAGATGATAAAAGCTCAGATTAAGTGCACGGGGAGCCCTGGGCTCGGGGAGCAGCAGCTTGTCCAGATGTGCATCTCTGTCAGCATCGATTCTGCTCCTGTTAATTGCAGGTGTCTGATGTCCACGGGCGATTCTGAATGTGAACTTGTCCTCTGAGACTTGACTTCACGCTGCTTCACACAGGACATGGCTTAAGAATGAAGGGAGGAGGCAGCGGGGAACCAGGGTGACAGGAGGGAGGTCAACAAAAGATAAATTGGGATTAGGTGAAATACTCATTAATAGAGGCCAACGGATATTTAGGAATTTCTTGAAAGCTTTAGGCATGGGGTGTAGGGAGAGGAAAGATTGATTTTCACTGCCAAGGCATTGTCTTTGAAAGAGTAATTTGAGGCCTCAGAAATGTTTAGTGAAAGTCAGGGACTGGAATGTTGCTGCTGGGAGAGGTACATCATCTTGTCATAAGTCTTAAGAAGATTTATCTTAAGGAAGCAGTTGGGAGACGTCATCTCAGCCGTTCCAGAGAAATATGGAAAAGGGTCATGGTCGATGGCCAGAATTGCCTGTCTCACCAGATTTTTGTTTTAATAATTTTAACAAAAGGACATATATGTATTTTCAGCACTTCACATTTTGCAAACAGATTAATTAGTAAAATGAACCCCCAGATACTTAGTATTTATCAGCGTTTTGCATTGACTATATTTTTTTATTGCTTTAAAAAACAATAATTTCTCTTTGGCATTTTCTTTTGGAAATACAGTTAAAGAGGTTTTTGTATTGGGGGGAGAGAGAATTATCTCAGGTTATGATTCTGTGATTTGCAAAGAAAGTCTGGAAAGAAATACACCAGAAGGTTAGCTGTAGGCATTGAAGCTCTAGGTGATTCTTTAAAACCCTTTTTCTACTTTTCTTAATTAATTGTTTCATTTCAGGGGTACTTATGTCCCCATCATTTAGAATAGTCAAAAGAAGATTCTAGATTGCTTTATAAAAATCACATTGAAATGTATTTGGGCTTCCCTATCCAAAATGCTTGTCATAGATTGGTCTTGGTCCTGTATCTAGTTTTCAAAGTGTTAACTGCCAAGTACTATTAAACTATCTTAAAAGGAAGTAAAAAAATAAACTGAGGTGTCTGTAAAGATGTCGGTCTGTTTAGGTTTTCCTGAAAACGTGTGCATCTCTTCATCCCTTTTGTTTAAGGTGACTGCTGAGGTCGGAAAGCTCTTGGGTGAAGAGAAGGTGGACGCAATCCTTTGTGTGGCCGGAGGATGGGCCGGGGGCAACGCCAAGTCCAAGTGTGAGTCCTCTTTTGAGTTACTCATCCATTCTGTGCCGCCCTTGGTCCAGCGGGCTTGGATCGCTTGGGTCTGTCTCCGTGTCAGGTCAGATGCTTTTCGGTATGGCTCCCAGGATCTTTACGTAGCTCTGTGAGGTAGGGATGAACAACCCATTTTACAGGTGGAGAGAAACTTCCGTAAAGGAGTTCGGGGAGGGGGACGTTGAGTTTGAAGTAGAGGCAGGATGAAATCAGCATCGTTCCCACCTCAGCCTTACAGGGCGGCCTACTGGGAGGTGAGGGACGTGTCTGAAATGGAGAGATCGTTGTGAAGGTCAGAAAGACTCAAAGTCGACCTTTTTTCATAAAGCTGAGTACAGTTTCCAACTTTCCATTATGAACATTTTCAAACAGAGAGAAAAGTCGACAGAACAGCTCAGTGAACCCTGTTCCCTCCATCAAGGTTCAGTGATTGCTAGCATTTCCTCTGCTTGCATGCTCTGGCTTTCTCGCATGTGTGTACTGTGAATTTTTCGGTTAACCACTTGAAAGTAAGTGGGCTGTCTTCCGTATTTCAGCATGCGTCCCCAAAGAATAATCCCATTCTCCTCCATTCTCATATTACCATTATTATATCTAAGAAAATTAACATAATTTTCTGTATAGGTTAATACTGTCCAACCCATATAATAATTCTGTAAGGTTAATACTATCCAACCCATATTCAAATTTCCCAGTTTATCCATATCGTTTATAATCTTTTTCCCCTAAACTATTCCAGTCAGGGTTTATATACTACATTTCGTCGTTCTTAGTCTATCTATATATATCTTTTTTCCTGTGTCAGACTTGGCAAGGCAGGGCCTTTTTCATATGGAATGTCCTACGTATGAATTTGTCTAATAACCGTTTCTTTAAGATATCATTTACCTTGTTCCTTATCCCTTGTCCTTTATCCCGTGGACCGGAACCTAGGTCCAGGGACTTGCTTAGATTCAGGTTAAGTATTTTGGAGGCGAGAACTGTACCTGATAATGCGTACTTCCTGCTCATCGCCGTGGGACTTTAACCTTGTCAGATCGCCCTACCTATCCGTGGTGATGCCAGATTTGGTGCTTGGTTAAGATGGTAGCTGGTAGACTCCCATTGTAAAGCCGCATTTTTCTTTTGCAATTGGTAAGCTACCTGTGCGATGGTACTTGGGCATCTTGTGTGAATATGCCGTTCCAAAACATCCTGAAACCCTAAATTCCTAAAACCTAATGGTTTTAAGCATCCACTGCCTGAATCCTAGCGGGGGTTGGAAAATGGTGGTTTTCTGATACTATCATTCCATCATCTAAAAAGGAACTGATTTTCTGTGAGACTGGTATTCTGTGGGGTGATCAAGTTGACAAAACGTCCTGATGGCCTTTCGTGTATTTTGGGAACAAGAAGTTATTAATGTGGGTCTATCAAACATTCTTTTTTCTAGTCTTTTTTATCAGGGAAATGCAATACCTTGGTTATCACTGAATGAAGACACCCCTCAGCGCCCCCGTATCAAGAGGGCTTTCTTTCTGGATCTTGGATTTGGCCTCACAGGGTTCTGTGTTTCTTGTAAGGGGCCAAAGAGACAGGTCCCAGTCGGGGATGTGACATACATTACCATCTCTTCCTCCTCATTACATCTCTAGCAGGGCCAGAGAGTTAAGTGTGAATTGATTGTTACCTAAGCTTTCTTTTAAAGAGTCTTTAAAGCTATGTTAAATTTTCAGCCATAAAAAGCGTAGTTCTGTAAAAAGCCTCTCTGTGTCCATGTGGTAATGATCCCTCGGATTTTTATCATGGCTTAAACCTGACTGAGACATACGGGTTCTTCTTCCAAATCTAATGCCCTTTATAAAGAACAATCTTTGAATTAAAGCCAGTCCCACATGTTTATGAATGGCCCTCACTTAACTGGCTACAGTTTTACCGGTTTGCAGGTGAGGGAGCTGAGACTCGGTGATCGCATGGCCTGGGTTCGAACCCCGGTGTCTGGCTGTCAGCCCTGTGCTGCTCATACTAGTGTCGTCAGGTGTCACGAGTCGAGCTCACCTTTCAGTTTCTTCACTGCGGATGCTGAGCCGACATACCGTTTTTTTTTCCGCCCCCCCACTCAGCTCTCTTTAAAAACTGTGACCTGATGTGGAAGCAGAGTATGTGGACGTCGACCATCTCCAGCCACCTGGCCACCAAGCATCTCAAGGAAGGAGGCCTCCTGACCTTGGCTGGTGCCAAGGCCGCCCTCGAGGGGACCCCTGGTAAGCCTTTACCTCGCGGCCTGTGAAGGGGGAGTGCTCATGCTCATTGGCTGCTCACGGGGTCTGCGGGGAGCCTCCATGGGCTGAGGGGTATTGAAGCCCTTCTCCTTCCGTGGTGCTTTATGCAGGTGGACTTTGTTTCCTTTAGGCCTGAAATGTTTTAGGGGAAGGACTCGTGAGCCTTTCATTGACGTTGTCCTAGGGGAGCTGGAAACAGAGTGAGAGAGGCCAGGGTAGATTGTGCATCCACGCTGTGTGGTCTTGAACAAATTATCTATTCGGCCACATTTCTGCTGTAGTTTCCTTAATTATAAATAATGACAGTAGCATCTACCTTGAGAGTAGCTGTAAAGCATTAGAAATACTGATGTGTAAAGCATACGGTGAGTCTCTGAGAAGTCACTTTATTTCATTTTATTTTTATTTTATCTTGGGGTTGATGTCATTATCATTTTCAATTTACAGGTAAGAAAAAAGCTAAAATGTAGATTAAGTCATTTGCCTGGGTTTATACAGTAAGTAGGTTGCAAGCTTCCTTTGAACCAGAACCCCGATCATTTCTAAATTATGTATTTTTTCCATTATGTTGTGCAGATCCAAGTTTTCTCTGAATTTTTTATGCCTTGTGTTAGTTTGCTCAGGCTGCCATAGTAAAGTACCACTGGCTAGCTTAAATGACAGAAACATATTTTCTCCTAATTCTAGAGGCTGAAAGTTCAAGATCAAGGCATCAGCAGGGTCGCTGTCTTTCCGAGGCCTCTCTCCTTAGCTTGCAGATAGCCATCTTCTCCTGGTGCCCTCACGAGGTCGTTCTTCTGTGTGTGTTTGTGTCCCAGTCTTTTCTGAGGACACTGGTCATGCTAGATTAGGACCCATCTTAATGACTTCATTTTAACTTCAACACCGGTCATGCTCGGCCATCTTCTCCTGGTGCCCTCACGAGGTCGTTCTTCTGTGTGTGTTTGTGTCCCAGTCATTAAGATGGGTCCTAATCGAGCATGAGGACACCGGTCATGCTCGATTAGGACCCATCTTAATGACTTCATTTTAACTTAATTACCTCTTTAAAGACCCCCATCTCCAAATATAGTCATTCTGAGATGTGAAGGCTTCAACATAGACATTTTGGGGGAGATACAATTCAACCCATAATACTCCCTTTTCGATAGGGCTCAGGGAATTTAAGTGGGCGGCTGGGCTGCGGGGTCCAATACAGAGACAGAAAATGTCTACCTCTACTACCTAAGTTAAACTCATCTTTAAAAAAAAAAAAGGGTGGGGAGAGCTGTTTTTAGACCTTGTCAGTAAGTGGTAGAGACCTTGAGCACCTCTTTAAATTTTAATGTAACTCGCCGAACTGTGCGGCTCTTACACATCAACACCTTCGTGCCACTCATTTTCTTATTTTGTTTCTCAGAGCTTATGATCTGACAAGTCCGTGGCTATCGCGGTCATCAGAGCCACGTAAATGTCAAATGTAAGTTTGGTCGGGATCTGACTTTTATTAAAGGTGACATAGAGCAGAGGCAGTAGCGAGCAAACAGAGACGTGGGTAATAGCTTGACATTTGAAAAAGAAAACCCTCGGGCCAAAAGACTTAGTTTTTTTAAAGGACAAAGCAGTCTCCCGCTTTCTTTTGGTTTGTAACTATCCTTCGTTTCTAGTTTTGGATACTGATAAGGACTGTGGGCTCTGGAACGACACAGTTTGGTTTCCTATTGTGGTCTTGCTACTTCATCACAGTGTGGTGTTTGATAAGTCACTTAACCTCTCTGAGCCTCAGTTTCGTTGTCTGTAAGATGAGGATCGATAATAAAAAGGCTTCCTTTAGATGGTGCCCGTGACTTGCAGACATCTTCATGGATGTCAACAGCTTTGGAAGGTAGGTCAGGGAGTCTGGTAAATGTGAACTATTTTCCTTTACTCCAGGCTTATTTTTGCCCAGCTACTCCTGCTTTAGATGTTAACAGGTATGTTCATTTTTTAAGCTCTTAGCTGGATGTCGTTAAACTTATTTGAGTCGTGAAATCTTTCAGCTTTGATTCAGACCCAAGAAAAGTCACGTATAAATTGAAAATAAATGACAAAGAGGCTTAGTGGTCCTTCAAACCCGAGAAGAATTGTTCAGAAATGAAAAGCTGTATTTTCACTTGGGAAGGTACTGAGAAAACCCCCGCCCGCTCATTTTCAGGGCTGTATTTGTAGATTATCTACTGTATTAAAGTGATCACAATCACTTTTCTTTGGCTGTTTTAGAAATCAGACTTGAGGGACTACGTCGATCACTTTATAATTGGGAGAAAAGTATTTATCTTCCTAATGAAATTTTGTTTTCTTTCGCATCTTGGCAAATGATCCCCTCACCTGCACGTGCAGAATTCTGTAGAATTAAACCATCGGGGCTGCCGGTCGCTGATTCTTTCTTCCTTCATCAGATTCCTGCTCTTGTATTTTTCAGATGGAACGAAGAGTGAGCCCTGGGGATGGGCCTGGACGAATGAGATTCCTACGCTGGTTTCTTTTAATCCCTGCAGAGTTTTTAGGTCCTTATACTGCTGTTGGCCTCTTGCCCCTGATTAAACAGGAGCCGGGGATGGTGAAATATTCCGCTGTGCTTCTAAATAACTTTTTGAGATCTTGACCCTCTTTTGCAATTCGGGGTTTGCTGTGGAAGCCGTTTGGTGATTGGCTCCTCAGCCACCCCTCCCTGGACCTTTCGTGCCTCCTCTACCGTTACACTTTAGACAGCGTGCGAGCTGGGAGCTTTTAAAGAGACCCCTGACTTCTGAAAGAAGTAGTGGTTTTCCGAAGGAGGAGGGGAGTTTACAGCAGTGAACCATTCTCTGTGTTGCTGTGGTTGTGGCATTCAGGTGGCATTCAGTGAGCATCTGCAGCTGAGTGCCCTGGGGGATGTAGAGAGAGGAGACCCCATTCCTGCCACATGTCTACAGGGCAGATGGAAGCCTGTGCTAATAAAAGCGTGCTTTGCTTCAGCCAGCAAACAGTCGCTGGTTAGTGGGAGCAGAGGAAGACGCATAGGCAGCATGAATACGTACATCAGAGTTGCTCCAGTGGTATACTTTACACAGGGAGTCGGACTCAGGGGCCGTCACCTCGATTAATTCGACAGGAAACATTTATTGAGCACCCACCTTGTGCTGAGTACAGATTTAAGTACTTTATCCCCATTTTGCAGATGGGGTAACTGAGGATTACTAGGGTTTTGAGAACTTGCCTGGGATTTCTTTAGCGGTAAGTGGAAGAGCTGGGATTTGAACCCGTGCAGCCTGACTCTGAAGCTTGCACTCGTGACGGCAGCTCGGCTCTGCTCACAGGCAGTGGTCAGTGGTTCTCGCCTGGCCTTTGCCTCTCTGTCGGCCTTGGCGCAAGTGTGCGTCTGAGCCAGGGCGCGGCACCCCCGTGTCCCAGCCTGAGTTTCCTCAGCAGTCAAAGTAGGGTCAGCCTCGTGGCCTTTGGGATCAATGTTAAGCGCCAGGCGGACTTGATATGTAGGAGCACTTGATATGTCGTATTTCTTCCCCCCTCTCTCCATAGGTGTCCATCCTTCTCTTCCTCCTGGCCTCCTCCGGACCCTGACGTGGTGGTCTTTGCGCACACCGGTGGCGGCCAGTGGTCCCTGACCTGTTTTCTCCCCCTTTCCCAGGGATGATCGGCTATGGCATGGCCAAGGGCGCCGTCCACCAGCTGTGCCAGAGCCTGGCGGGGAAGAACAGCGGCATGCCGGCTGGGTCTGCGGCCGTCGCCGTGCTCCCGTAAGTGCTCCCGTCTCTGCTCACCTCTGGCCATTCTCCGCTGTCACTGTGGTTGCGGCCTTTCGCGAACATCTGTAGCCGAATGCTGTGGGGGACTAGAGAGAGGCGAGACCCCACGAGAGCTCACATGTGCCCCTAGAGTCACCTTGCACCACAGGCTTGTGTGTGCTGTCACCTTGGCTCCTAGGGCTCTCCAAGGGCCCGGAAGAGCCTCGAGTGTTGGGTGATCTGGGCCACGGTGCTGGGCTGGCCGGTGGGATGGCGCTGTCTTCCTTGCCTCTTTCCTTCCCTCCCTGCCTCCTTATTAAAAACCAATCTACACGTTTCATGTTAGTATTTGCCGTCCTGTCTTTCAGGTCATTGTAAGGTCAGTGTGGACGAGAGACCGTGTTTAGTCTTTGTGTGTGTGGCGGGGGGGCAGGGTGTCTGAGGGAGCATATGGGACACTGTGGGAGACGGTCCCATCCGGGATCAGGATGAAGGTCCCCAGTCAGCTGTCCCGGGGAGCCAGCTGCTGTGGAGGCAGAGAGTTCCTTCTTGCGGGGAGGGTTCCGGCACCCGCTGGCTTGTCTCTTGCCTCTAGTCCTGTAAAGACGTTGGGACTGCCAGGGGACTGGTCTGTCTGTCCCCTTTTATTTGTGAGCTTCTGTAATCCTGTGGCCTGGTCCCACAGCTGTTTTGAATGATTGCCAAAGCCCGAATGTTCTGGGGAAAGTCATACATACGTGAATTCTTTGCGCTCTTGCTGAAAATCATAAGGTTTCATGGGAAATAGCCACAAAATGATGGATGTGGCCATCTTTTCCCCATGTTTAAAGAGATTTTATCATTATACTTAAAAAATCCTGAGAAATGAGTCTGCCACATTTTAGAAGTGAATGAAGACATAAACAGTAAAGCAATTTATTTCAGTAAAGACTATTTTTTAAAAAGGCAAAATGCGGCTCTTTCATTGTGTCCCTGTCTGCTGAAAGGGCGAGTCACAAAGCACCTCGCTGAATGACGCTGGGATGTGCCCTCTGTAAGTGTGGATGGCTTCCTGGCCTCTCTGGTCATCTTCATGTGATCTCTTCACGGAAATCTGCCCCGCTTGGTGCCAGAGGCTTGTGGCGCCTCTTCCCGGCCGAGGAGGCCGGGCGATTGTTGTCATAAAGGGGAGGCACAAGTGACGGGCTTACCTCTGTGCGCCACAGGGTCACCCTGGACACCCCGATGAACAGGAAATCGATGCCCGAAGCCGACTTTGGCTCCTGGACGCCCTTGGAGTTCCTCGTCGAGTGAGTACCATGGCAGTGATGTTGGGGCCAGGCAGCTTCCAGCCCCCTTCTCTGCCTCTTCTGGGCTGGAGGACAAGCGCAGAAGAGGCGGTCTTTTGGGGAGGGTACCAAAACCTTGCCCGAGGTCACACAGCAGAGCCAGGGTCTGACCCAGGCAGCGTGGCTGCAGACGCTGTCGCCTTAAGCACTCCGCTGGCAGGTACTGCCTCCTGGGCCAGGTATCATGCTTAATGCTGGAGTTGCAAAAATAATGGAAGTTGTGGTGGCCACCAGGCTTTGAATTGTGGTTGCAATTCAGCAGCACCTGAGAGAGACATTGATCTAGGACCCAGGTTCTAGACGGAATGTCTGAGGTCACGGGTCTGAGTCAGTGCCAACCCACAGAGGGTGAGCTGGGGCAGCCATCCCCTGTTCCAGAAATCACGTTCACTCGTTTGAGTGTTTGCAAACTCCCGTGACGAGTTGTCGTCAAGTTTGCTTTGACATCTGCGGGAGCACATGACCTTCTGTGCTGTCCATAGTTAGAATGCTGTTCTCTCTCCAGTCTGCTGACGACAGTGCAGGAGCAAGGCAATTTATAGCCTGCACAAGTAACACGCACCACCCCCCACATCCAGACGTGACCGGTCCCCTTCAGGGCTGCCTCCCAGCTCTGCCCGGCCCCCGGAGACGGGCGTCATGCCATATTACAGTGCTTCAGGGAGTTGTAACAGCGCTTTATGTACTGAGCCTGTATACCTTGCCTGGACTTGTTCAGCCCTCAGAGGGAGAGCTCTGACTCTCCAGACGGCTGCAGATGGGCACCAAGGAAGACCCCAAGAACTTCGAGTGCCTTCCACTTAAAGAAGGTCCAGAGTCCCAGCTGGGGGATGGGTAAAGGGGTGGCGTACTCAACACCCAAAGTAAATGTTTTAAAAATTATCTGCCGTTTGTTCAACCGTGTGAATTTCTCACGCCTTTTCTTATTTCTGTCTTCTTAGAGGTTGTCTTGAATCCAATGCAGGGTTAGCTGCCCCTCCCCACACAGAGTTAGTTATTAAATGTCCCCATTCCAGCATTTAATGTCTTTTATTGGAATAGTCCGCTTTATATATATTTTTTCCATTTGCTTGGCATAGCCGTTGGTGCTGCATAAATGTTTGCTAAAAAAAAAATATGAGTTTTTTCTCTTTTAAATTTCTGGAAAGATAATATAACAAAGCATAAAGTATTGTGCACATGTGTATCTCTTTTTCTACTCAAAATCGTACCATTGTTATAAATGATTCCAACAATGCAGAAAAAATATAACAATGAAAGTTAAAATCTCGCCAAATCCTGCCACTCGGAGGTTCGAATGAGTGAAGTACTGAAATCATCGGGGACCTCAGTCTGTGTCCCATGATGCCTCTGTGGCTTTTTCACAGCTGCTGCTGTACCCCTCCAGCCCCCAAAGCCACTGATGTGAATTTAAGCATGTGTCCAGATTTTTGCTTTTGAACTATAAAGCTTTTCTTCTTTGTTCTAGAACCTTCCACGACTGGATCACAGAGAAAAACCGACCAAGCTCAGGAAGCCTCATCCAGGTGGTAACTGTAGAGGGAAAGACGGAGCTCACCCCGGCGTATTTTTAGGCTTCGTTTCAGTGCCCGCGAGGGGCCTGCCAGGAGAGGCGTTAACCGATCTCATTGCAGCTGTGGCGTCTGGCCCTGTGTCTTCTGTCATCCGTTTGTGTACACGAGAGCGAGACCTATTTTCCACTTCCCTAGAGTGCATTTGCTCTCCTAAGTCAGTGTAAGCCGTTCACGTGGAATAAAAACGTGGGAGTGGAGGCCCCCAGTTAGCACCATTGGCACGTGTCGACCACCTCCGTGTTGGAGGTCTCTGCACAGACGCCTGTGTGTTGGTGTCATCCTGAGTTGCTTTGAGACTGTCTGTCCCTGACAATGGCTGGCTGGCTGACTGCTTCAGAGATTTGTTGCCATCGGGGGCATTTTGGGGCCTGAGTTGTCTTTGAATGTTACGTTTATGTCACAGATGTAGTTTTTGCAGCCTCAAATTAAACTGCCTTAAAACTCCTTTTGTGGTATGAACAAAATCCCGTGGACAGTTGAGCTCTCTTTTTCCTGTGCAGTTGTCAAGCGTAATGAACCACTTGTGAATGTTTGGAGTTTATTATCCTAATAAACACACTTCGTTTATTGTGTTATCTTCAATTAAATCATGTCTCATACACTGTCATAGGTGAATGTACTGAAGTCACGGGCTGCTAGTGGTCTGTAGTCTGGTGTTCTCAACAGGGTGGGCCCAGAAATCTGCCTTCTCCACACAGTGACGGGCACAGTTTTCCCTCGGGCACGTCGGAATCGAGGTGCTGGCTTGACCCTGTGCCTTTAGAAGCAGCGGACCATGTGGCTGATGGAGGGTGTCCTGATAGATAACTGCTGATCTAATCTAACTGTTCATTTTACAGACAAGGAAACTGAGGCCCAGAGACTCGACTTAGCCTCCTCACTGCCAGTAAGTGGCAGAACTAAGCCCAGAACTCTGGTCACCAGATGGCTGCTGTTTATAAGAGTCTTTACCATGTGTTTTTTTGTTTTTTTTTTTTAACATTTTTTTGAGATAAAATTTACATAACATTAACCATTTTAAAGTGAAAAATTCTATGGCATTAAGTTCACGGTGTTCCATAACCACCACCTCTGTCTAGTTCAAAACCCGTTTGTCGCCCCAAATTAAAACCCCATGCCCACGAAGCAGCTACTCCTCATTTCCCTGCCTCCAGCACCAGGCAATCTGCTTTCTGTCTCCATGAATTTACCTGTTCCGGATATTTCACATAAATAGAATCATACACCATGTGGCCTTTTGTGTCTGCCTTACAACACTTGGCATGTTTTCGAGATTCATCCACGTTGTAGCATTTATTAGTACTTCATTCCTTCCTGTGGCTGCATAAAATTCTGTTGTTTGAATATACTATTTGCTTATATACTCATCTGTCGATAGACATTTGGGTGGTTTTTGCCTTTTGGCTGTTGTGAATGGTGCTGCTGCAAACGTTTATGTGCAAGTATTCGAGTACCTGTTTTTAGTTCTTTTGGAGGCGCACTTTGGAGGGGGTTCCTCTGTCATCTTGGTAGTTGTGTTTAACCATCTGAGAAGTCTCTTGATTCTTGACACGCTTCAAAGTGATCTCTAAGTTCCGCAGAAAAGAAGGTGGAGACCAGAAAGGTAGGATTGATTGGTTCAGTCACCGAGTGCTATGGTCTGAACGTTTGTCCCCTCCCAAGTTCCTGTGTTGAAATCCTAATGCCCACTGTGGTGGCATTAGGGTGCGGGGCCTTTGGCAGGTGAGCCCTTGTGCGTAGGTTTAGCGCCCTCCAGCGAGGTCTCTAGCCCTTCTGCCCTGTGAGGACCATAAGAAGAAGCCTGTAACCTGGAAGAGGGTCTTCCTCAACCATTCTGGCACCTGAACTTGGACTTCAGCATCTAGCACGTGAGAAAAACTTGAGTTGATTTATAAGCCACCCGGTCTTTGGTATTTTGTCACAGCAGCCGGAACGGACCAAGGCATCCACTAGAGAGCCGTACGTACGTAAGTGCACTCACAAGTGCGGTGGTGACCAAGTTACATGGCACTTCACATGTCCATTCCTCCGTCTTGTCCTCCCAATAATACCTCACATAGCTGTTTTCCATTTTTCAGAAAGAAGAAACAGCCCCAGAAGTTAAATGACTTGCTGAGGGTGTAGTTCGTTTCAGGGGAGCTGGTAGTTTCTATTCCATTTAGAAACCAGACTTCTTAATTGATTCCTGAGGTGCGTTTTACTCAGGCCTCAACCTGGTAATGTGTAGGAGAGTATAAGGGGACACGGAGCGAGGAAGAGGGGGTGTTTTTCTCTTGGGCTTTAGCCACTCATTCATCGAGCGATTTTTGAGTGCGAACTACCATGGGAATGGATCTAGGGGCCCAGGACATATAGTGAGTTAAGTAGACAAAGACCTCGGACCTCAGTTACATTATAGTGAGGGGAGGGGACAGCAAAATTAACTAATAAAAGTTGAGTACATTTTAGAGTATGTGAAAAGGCTCAATTGTGGGGGAAAAAAGAGAAAGGCAAGGAGCTAAGGAATGTGGGGGTTGTGATTTGAGATAGGGTTATGGACTGAATGTGTCTCCAAAATTTATGCATCGAAGCCCCAACTCTATTGAGAAAAACTCCTATTTTTACGTCCATTTTGCAGTTGAGAGGCACACAGAGAAGTCACTTGCCCAAGCTCACACAGAAAACAACAAAAGCCAGGATTCGAACAGGCAGCCAACATTCCATGCTAGTGTTTATACTGGTCTCAGCCTATCTGATGGCCCGATTACGGTGGAACCAGCCTTTGTGGTTCTTAGCGTGAGGGCAAGACACCCGTCAGCAATAACCAATAGGAACCTTAAAAAAAAGGTTCATTATTTATAGGACGTGGAAATGACACAGCACACACCTGGGGTCACACAGTGAGGTCGTGAAGTGTGGGCGTGGGGTGCTGCTTTTCTTGGGGTCGAGGGTGAGGGGCTACCGAGGGTTTCGTGGGCTCACTCTTCACCGGTGAATTTAAAATGTAAAAGCTGGCAACTTAAAGCGTGGGATGAGAAAGTAAACAGCCCAAAGGGTCAGCTATTAAATCAACCGAGATCTCTGAAAGGAGCCTGGCTTTTTATCTAGTCGTGTGTCTGGCAATGTGTGTATTCGAGACAGGCTCCCAAGTGTCTGCCTCTGAAATGAATGGCCCCACCATCAAAGGTTAAGTCGGGCACTTCTGTTACAAGGAAGAAAGAAGAAATAGAACAAACCAAATGTCAGGGCTTAAACTACCACCAGCCTACAAATAAGCCATACAATTAGCACAATTTAGTGGTACTAAACATTTTCAGACAATTCTTAGTCCTATGAGAAAATCCTCATGGTGTAGTATCAAGCGAAAGGCAGAATGCATGACATGTGTTATGACATAGTCTGATGTGACCCCGATTATATTAAAACACATTCCGCTGTGTTTTGTCAGTGAGAAGGTACACCTTCGCGTATTTCGTTGTCACCGAATTGTCTTACAGTTGGCGGTGGATCGTCGTGTAATTGGCAGTATTCTTGTCCACGAAGTGACGGTGTAACTTAGAATCAACAGTGTTTTAGGTTCTGTGAAATGCTGCATCCGGGTCGGTGGGGCAAACACGAAGGAAACACGCTGAGCTCTCAGGAGCGAGGCGTCTCGGGGCCACGGGCAAGGCTCATGATTATCCAGATGACATGACTTCGCACTGGACTCTGCCCTCTGTCCGAGAAGTCTGGTTTGTTTCCTCTTGTCATCTTTTACTTAATTGTTTGTCCTCATTTGTTTATTGTCTCTCTTGCCTGTTGGACTGGGACTGACGAAAGGCAGTCCCTGTTTATTCTGTAAACCCCTTCACCCCGTGGTTCAGTTAGTTGTGTGATTTCTCCCCACACTTGACACTTTAAGTAGTGGCCTAGGTGACCCCTCCTTGACTGGCTGCTCGTCTTCACTCCTGGGTCTGTGGGGATGATAATAATATGTGGTGCCTACTTCATGCCAGGCACCATTGTAATTCCTCACATCATTTATTTCATCCTCACGACGACACTATAAGGCATTTTACAGATGAGAAAACAGGCACAGAGAGGGACAGCTGCTGCCTGGGACACAGCTGTGGGCGGTAGTCAGGTCCCACGTGGGAGGCGCCTCCACACTCTGAGCTAGCCTTTCATGAGTTTGGTGTTTATTCTGTATTCATGTTTTTTTCTTATCTGATCGTCCAAACCAGATTCCTCGGGGGGCACATGGAAGGTATTGCAGTTTCGGTAGTCAATCGCTGGTATGTGGTGTAGAGGCGAACATGATCTGAATCAGAATTTCAGCTCTTGGTGACAGTGGGCTCTTTGCTGCCTGTGACTACAAGTGTAGAAAAGGGAAAAACTCAGATGAGAGGAGTTTTTAAAATGTCCACTTGGTGGCGCTGTCAGCTTAGAAGGAAGTGTGATTGGCTTTAGCTACACGTTAGTCCAGTGCGGTTCAGTGCTCCTCAGAGACTGATGCTCCAGACCATTTCCTAGCTCCTTCAAACACAGATCCCACAGTTACACCTACACAACTTGTAACTGGAGGATGAATAGCTCTAACGCACAGCGGAGTGATTATAGTCAACGACACCGCATTTTATAAACTTCAAAGTTGCTAAGAGACTAGACCTTTCCTGTCCTCACCACCGAAGAAAAATGATAATTATGTGATGTGGTAGAGATGTTGATTCACACTATGGTGATAATCATGTTGCAATCTATAAATGTATCAAATCAACACCTTACACGCCTTAAACTTACACAATGTTATGTGTCAATTATAGCTCAATAAAAAAACAGTAAAACAAACACCAACTTAGGTGTGACCATTGCCTATTTCACCCACAGGCCTGCAAGCTTCCCGCACATCCCAGAGATGCTGCTTCTGTTCTCTTTTCCCTCTAACTTTCGTCATCAAAAGAATAATCCAGGGACTTTATTAAAAATGGATCCCCGAAGCCCTCCCCAGTCCTGAATCGGTAGCTGTGGAGTGGGACCATGTTGACTATTGCTGCCGAACAAGTCATCACCAGACGTGGTGGCTTAGAAGAACAGCACTGTCTGTCCTTCACAGTTTCTGAGGCTCAGGAATTTGAGAGTGGCTAATTTGGGGGTCCTGGCTCAGGGTCTCTCATGGGTTGCTGTTAGTTGTCAGCGGGGGCTGCATTCATCTGAGGGCTCACCTGGGCTGGAGCATCCACTTCTGAGGGCGCTGGCAAGTTGGCTCCAGGAAGAGTAGAGGACAGGGAGGTTGGGCTGGGTTAAGTATCCCTCTTCTGCTGCCATCTTTGTGCCCAGCCATGCATCCTGTCTGCTCGCAGTTTATTCCAGGCTTCACCGGGGCCGCCAGCTCTGAGCATGTGCAAGGTGATGCACGTCCTCAGCTGTCCTGCCTTCTGCCTGCCGGCTTGCTTAACCCTGAGGCACGGGATGCCTGCAGAAATGTGCCAGGCACGAACCTGGGAGGGTGAGGGAGCTAACAGGCTAAGGAGCAACTCTTGGTCTTTGAGGAATAGGAGCTGGTTGATAACTGTCCTCTCCTCTGTCGTTCAGGCAGTTAGCATGAGGCATATTCCTCGTGGCTCCCTAG